TATATATATATATATATATATATATCATCTTCCTCAATTCAAGTGAAAATTTGACATTTATACTTTCAAATTTCTAATAGATTAATTTGACTTGGTCAAGCCCGGTAATTTTTTTCCCTTTCCAAAGTCTTTTCACGTAAAAAATACGGCTGTTTATTAAATTTTATCTATGTTTGTCCTAAAAAAGTATAATTTTAAGGCTTTGTTGTTGTTGTATGTTTGTCCCAAAAAAGTATACTGAGCTAAGGCTTAAGATTATTCTGACGGTGAGCATTTTTTGCTACATAATAACAACATTATTAGAAAAATAAATAAAAATTCCTATAAGTTCGACCTTCCCACAAAAGTTTTGATCTCATTACTTTTCAAAATGGCATACATAACGCTGTGTATATATGGACTTTCTCTTTTTTAATGATATTTCTTAGCAACTTGTCAGCCCCTCTCCCCTTTGTCTCCTCATCATATATTAAGCATGAAATACTTACTTGAAACTTACATTTAACACTTCAATTTCTCCACAATAATTACTCTATTTTCCCTTTCCATTACCATTATTTGGCCACCTCTCCCTCAAAAACTTCTCTCTTATGCTAAATACCAATGGAATGGCTTATATAATTTTTGTTAAAGGCAAACTGCTGAAACTCTCTAGGTGCTTTTCCATATTCAAGCAAGGAATACTTGAGTGTGTGTGTGTGCCCCTCGTAAAAGGACCTCCAAGGAATGAAAAATTGGTAGAGAAAAGGATCAATGGTAGAGGACCTGAAAGTTATCTTCCATATCATAACTATGCCTCCTGGTTTTGATTAAACCTCCTCCATAAAAATATTGCAGTATTATCATAATTCATTATTCACTTTAAGCGTTATTTTCTATCATATTTTATCACTCACTGTTTCACAAAATTAAAAAAAAATCACTATATTGGGCTTACTTCGTGAATCTTCAATTAACAGCTAGACATAACGTTAACTGGTTTTAACTAAAAGGAACGGTGAAAGTTCATGCTTCATACTCAAGCATACCATTTCATCTTAAATTTTAAATTTTAAATGCCTGAACTAATTACAGTGATGGTAAAAGAGAAACAAGAAACTAAACTCACCACATGCAAAAAAGGCAAAGCCAAAATTCAAAATAAAGAGTAAGTTTGTCCTCTTTTATAATAACGAATAACGAATAATGAATTCTTAAGGTAGCAGTTTAGCAAACACATATGCAGTCAATGTATCAGCTCATTCTTATATATATATATATATATATATATATATATATATATATATATATATATAAGCCAAGTTCAATCTAACTCAGAGATTAATTGCTAACCGGATTGATGGATTGCCTGAGATTACTGATATGCACCCTTAGTTCCTCGGGTGGAAACAAATTAGGTAAAGAAATAGCCCTTTCTGTTTCCTTTCTCAACTCTGGACCTCCTAAAGAACAAGTAGTATCATGGCTAGCCTCCGCCTCAGCTTCACAACATTTTTGCATGATGTGTGGTTCACTTTGTGTAGCAATCCCTTCTGCATAAACAGGATTAACACTTTGCTGGACTTCCATAGCACAGCTCAAACCAACAAATTTGGGCTCAGGATATTTCATTTTACTTGCACTTAAAATACTTTCAGAACAATTGTGTTCACCCTTCAAAGTCTCATCTATAGAATTTAAAGATGCTTCCAGTACTTCACATTGTACGTGAGGCACAAGTGGAGTTAAGCCTTCATTGGAATCATGACTTCCAGATAGTTTCCTTTTCAGTCCAATTCCCTCAACTACAGAGTCCTCAGATGTTATCAATTTTTTTCTTTCATAGATAGCTTCCTGGGAAGATGGATTGGTACTCTCAGGAAATGACAATTCTTCAAAATTTTCCACTTTGCAAGGAAGAGAGCAAGGTGTTTGCATATTTTGCAGTCTGCCTTCAACAATAACATTATCTGAACCATCGGTTTTGGTCTCTTGCAAAAGGTTGCAAGCAAAATTCAGATTTTTAACTTCAGCCTCAAAAAGCTTCCCTTTATTTGCCATTGAGAGGGTTTTGGATTGATTAATTTCCATTCTCGTATACTCAAAAATAGAATTTAAGGTTTCAACTTTTTGGCTTTGTGAAAAATGTGTTTGTGTAGCATGTTCAATATCTGTCAATTCTGAAGCAAAGCTTGTAGAAGGAGACGGTTCCTGACATTTCATCGCAGGTTTTATAGATTGCTGATCATAATCTGATGTAACAATACTAGTTCTGACCTTTGTGCTTCCTGAATTGAGCCCCTGAAAATCACCTGGCCTTACTTTAGCTGGAGGGCATATAAGGCAATCACTACTACAGCATTCTTCATAATGTTTAAAATACATCTTGTATCCAGCACACGATTGTTCACATAGATTGTTGCGACAATTACAACAGTGGTTATATAACATTTTCATGTACTTACAACCAACGCGATTGCAACCATCCACACAACCAAATGCATGATTACATAGATACAAAAGAGATTGAAGCTTCACAACTTCCCTTCTCATTGGGTTAGATTCACAATTAGCAGCAAGCCTATTAGATTGAAGATCCTTAGCAGGCAAGGGAGACTGCATCCCATTCTGCTGTGTCTGAGGCAAAGGCATCCAAGTCCTGTTCTGACTTGACATGTTAATAGGAACATTTGAAAGGTCTTCTTTCTTGTACGGAGAAGAAAATAGTTTGTTTCCAACGTAATGTCCTTCCTTTTGACATGACAGGAATGGATTTGAATCCCAATAAGGTTTATTAGATAAATGGAATGGGGTTTGTGTTCCTCCCATAGGAGGCCTGCATTGCGAACGAGAAAGGCAACCTGATGTATTTAAAAACTGAAATTGACCCTGCACGTTCGAAGAAGGAAAAGAAGACCTCGAATTTGCAATCATGTCAGAGCCGAGAATCAAAGGATTCATATTCCGATTGGTTGAAGTCGAAATACATGATGATGCAGGCATGCCTACATCTAGCATAAAATGTTCATTATCTGCAGCAAAAGTCAAGTCAATTTTACTTGTAATGAATACCTAGAGGAAACAGCAATAGAGTTAATGGGTTGTTCAGAAAAAATCTCAAGTTCAAAAACACCAAGATAAGTACCTGCCCAATTTGGAGAGCTTACGGTGTTTCCAGAGCTATTTAGCGCAGAATTGGCGATATAACTATGGCGTGTGTTTGGTTGATATCCTGAAAACTTCAACCATTACATATAAAAATGGAAAAACTTCATAAAATTAAAGGAAAAGGAATTTTTCAGCGTACGGGACTCACGTTGGGTAACCAAGAAGTCAGCCATTGAGCCAGTCAACGAGGTCTCATTCGATAAGGGATTCCACGCAGCACTAGATGGTTCCTTTTCAAACGGAAGAGAAACTATTGAGCAACTAGGACGAAAGGAATCTAGACAGCGAGTTCCAAATGACATTTTTTAACCTGTATCATGGATTCCATTGACAAAGACAAGGCACAGTGGGTTAAAGGTTAAAGACTCAATTCAAGCATTTTAAGGTTAAAACAATTTAACGATCCACTCCATTATTCTGTATGCAAGTCCAAGACTATGTAATGCATCCATAAATGAAAGATAAGAAAGCAAACTTATAACTACAAAGAAAGGATATTTGGCATATCCGATCTTCAACATTTTTTTCAAGCATTCAAACCTTGGATCTCTAGAGTTCAAGACAAGACCAGTCGGATACATTATTATTTGTATCATAAGCTATCAATTCAACAGGAATGGATTATTTTACAGTCCAAATTTGAAGTCACTTTGAGATTCATTATGATCTACTTCCTGCCAAGCTAATTCTTAAGATATGACATGCTGCTTCCACACAAGACCTTAGCAAAAAAAATTAGCATTAAATTAGTTTCCAGTTGACATTGTTATAAACGATTTTATTCAGATTCAAATGTCAACCACAATAAACTACTTCAATCAAGATCCACAGGAAGCAACGGCAGTATTGTCAAATAAATTTATCATTAAGAAACCTTTTTTTTACAAATGATAGATTTCTTGGCATATGGTATTTGAGCAAAACAAAAAACTGAGTCAATTAGTCATAAATCTCTAAACTGGTGGCTCTAACCAGCAATGACAGTTTTAAGTTCATACTTCAGCGAATAACACGAACAAGACAATAGAATAGAACCCTAAATTTTTTGAATTATAAGAACGTTGTTGAGAATGGCCAACTCAAAATTTATTTCATTGTAGAAGAAATGCTTTAATATATTTTCAAACTAAATCCTAAAAATTGTTTGGCATGTTAGTAACTAATCTCTGCATTAATTTTCTTACTCTCTTATTCGTTATCTAGGGTATATTTTTCTTCTATTAATACCATTTGCCCTTTTTTAATGGTGTTTTCGTACAACTTTTATGCTAGATATGCTACCTATTGTAAGTCATGATTTATGATGAGTTTGGATTTGGCAAGATTAATCAGAGCATTGTTGTTTACTCTAAGTGAATGCTATGCACTTTTGGAGCATTTGTGTTAAATTGCAAAATAAAAAAAATAAATAAACATGGAGCTGTCTATCAAAGCATAAATTTAGTTTTTCCTCAATGAACTTACAAATGAAAATAAGTATTAACTTAAGCACCTCCTTGACCTTCATCAAACTTTCAATATAAGCCATATTGAGCATAAATAGCATGATTAAAAACAGATCTTTGACTGATATGCCACGTCAAAAACTTATGCACTTATATCCAACTATGTTGAACTCAATCGATAACCTAAATGGTCCAAAACTGAAACAGCAACTTTTTCACCTTAGTCATGGACTGACATATTATTCCTTCTGTATCAATGCTTTTAAGAGTTTTGTTGACAAACTTGTATATTAAGCTTTTTTAAGAACATTTTCTTTATATAATAAACATCACTTAAAAGAAGTATAAATTAAAGTTTTTTATTTCTGTGAACAGTATCTAGAGAATTATTGGTGTTGAAGTTTTCAAATTATATGGTTTATTACTCTAGCACAGCTAAAATTTACACTGTTATCTCATACTATGGCACAGTTGTATCCAAGATTGTAAAAATTGGACTACATATCGAACCAGAAGAAGGAAATATTCAAGGTTTGATGGTTCAATTAGGGTTGAAATTAAAATTGAACTGGATGACGCAATAAATATTTAAATTATTTTAATATAATTTAAATAATAGAATGATGAAACATTAAGTTCCTTTTGATTGCTTCAAAAAAATTTATATTTTTATTTAAGATAACGCTTTTGAATACTTTAAATAATATTCTAAATAAAATATTTAAAACATGATATTATCTATATTTTTAATTTAAATATCTTGTCTTTGATCATCTCATCCAAATAAAAAATATTAAAATTGAACAATATTTGAACCGGCCGGTTCTTTAAAAACCAGACCGGTTGAGTGGTTCGTCGGTTCAACCTCAGATTTAACCAATTTAGTCTTGGTTCTACGCAAAAATGATTCTAAGCTCGGACCAAACTGATTGAATAACCGGTTCACAGTTGAACCAATTGAACCGGCCTGTCTGATCCGATTTTTAAAATCATGGTTGTATCACCATTTTCCTGTTCCATTATAACCTAAATGATGAAGATTTTTGTGTACAAACAAACGTTAGTAAATCCTACCAAATTTTCCATTACAGCACAACTGCCAGCATTTAAAATGTGGATCAAGTCAAAGACAAACTTTGTAAGGGCATATAATCTCATGCTCACGTTCAAACCAAACGAAAGAAAAAAAAAAAATTGAAGCCAAGGTACCTGCAATAGCGGTCCACGGTGAGACGGTGGCGAACAGCCATTTAGACGGCGGCGAAAAGATGGTGAGACACCATGGCGAGCGAGCGGCAAGGGAATGAATGGGCCATTTGGTAGCCGGTTTTAAGCAGGGTTTAAGCTAAATCTTGCCAAACGGAAAAACTGCTCGTTAAATCCTGAGCTCCCGTGAATCCCAAATTAAGGCCGATTGGAGATAAATCCGGTATTTACTAAATGCTGTGAATTGACGGATTTAGTAAATCAGTTGCGAGAGAAGAGGAAGAATGACGCTAACGGGCTTACCTTCCTCTGTTATCCACGATCCCGTGTTGCCTTCCAAGCTAATGGCGGCTGAGATGTTTGGGCGAAACCGTCAGAGTGGAGGACGTGGGGGAAGGAGGGGGATTTCGGGCAGAGCGGAAGAGGGAGAGAGATATGTTCGTGGATTTAATTTTTTTTTTAGTTAATTTTGTCAATTTAATTGATAAATAATTAATAATATATTTATATATTACAAATTATTTATTATTAGATAAATTTAAATGTAATTACTTAATATTTAAGTAATGAATAAAAATATATTTTCAATTTTATATTATTTAATAAAATTCTATGTAATTGCTAATTTATTTTATGTAACTAATAATTAATTAGTTATTGATTAATGTTAAATTATTGCCTAGGTAATTAGTTTGCAAT